GCTCACCAGTGGTGCTGCCAGCAGATGCGTGCCACCCCTGTACCTCCTCCTCTGGGTCTGTCCCAGCTAGTCCTCCATCCTCTCTCTCTCACGTGGTCTAAGCCAGTCTCCTTCCAGCCTCGGTGGGTGTGTCTGTCCGTCTTTCCCTTAGATACCCAGCACTGACAGGCTTTCTGATCATGGCTCCCTGGGCACCTCAGTCTGTCAGTCCATCCACCTACCCGCATAGGCTGGCTTGCTTCTAACCACTGTTACTTTGTTACTGTTCTACCTGCCATTATTTCCAGGACGAAGAGGGGACACTTACAATACAACCTAAAGAACGCACACCATCTCCTGAAGAGGCCAGCGAACCCGCCATGTCAGCCCGCTCTCGTGCAGAGCCCCGCGGGCGCCGGCCTCACTCACCGAAGCTCCTGCTGGGCGGCGGTGGTGTCCAGCGTGTCCTCCAGCTCTGTTTTCAGAGCCTCCAGCTCCTCACTCAGGTCCCGTTTCTGCTTCTCTGCCTTGTTCCGCGAAGCCTTCTCCGATTCAAAGTCCTCCTGAAGCTCGGCGATCTGGGCTTGCAGCTCCCGCACCACCTTCAGGGCGTTGTTCTTGTGGAGCGTCTCGTCGTCGCCCCTGTGAGAACAGCCAGGCCCGGGGGGCCGCACTCAGCCGGGGCGCGGAAGGGCTGCTCCCCAGCGGGACCGCCCCTGCACCTCTCCACAGGGAGACCCGGTTACCCAGCCTCTGCCGTGGCACGAGCCTGGCGCGGCACAGGGGCCGCACGGCAGGCACGGAGGCACACAGGCAGTGACCTGCAGGCCCGAAAGCTGGTTGGCAAAGCCAGAATCCGAATCGAGCCCAGCCCCCTTTGCAAAGGGCTAACTATCTCCATTAAGAGATAAGACAATCACTTTCATGATTAGAACCTAAAAAAATTCCCTATAAAATAAAATGTTATCCTTAGAACACTGCTCAAGGTAGCAGTCTAGCCTACCAAACTGGTGCCCTCCTACAGTGAACCGGCAAATTCAGAAAAGTCCTTAGAACACACAGCAGAGGAGACACGCCGCCGCCAGGCCTCCCACCTACGCTCTCTCCCATCCGCATCTTCTTGCTGGTGTGTGGCTGGATGTGGTAGATACCTGACTGGGCATAGTTGGGATGTTTGTGATGAGCGAGGGGAAGCTGACAGCCATGACAGCGAGTGGTGAGAACTTTAACTTTAGAATCTAGCTCTCACCTCTGTAAATGAAAAGGCAGAAATTTGGCCAAAGTCAGAGTAACAGTGGTAGAGGACAGAAAAATGTCTGTTATAGATTTTGATTATAATAAATTATAAACTCTAAGTCCTATGACCATGTAGCCAAACAGTTATTCTTTTTAAAGAAATGAAAGTATTAGATATAAATATATTCACTACATATGGTTTCTAATGGTCTAGAACTGAATAGCAAATCATGCTTCAAGTGTATGGGGTGGGTATCCTTTCTGAAGTGATTTCTCTAAACTTCTCGAACACACTGACGTGGACAGAAACCAAACGTTTGCTGTGACACATTTTTTCTGCTGTGAATTTCCAAGGATTTCCTGAGGAGCCCTAGTGAGTTTCAGTGTGAATTCTGAGAACGGCTTAGGTTTTCTTGCTGCCCTGACATAAATGACGTGCTCCTGGGTTTTTTAGGTTCGGATGCCACACCCAACAACTCGGAAATGACGTGTTCCCTCCCAGGTGTGGGTCTGC